GTGTGCCTTAACAGCTGCTAGTTATGGGTACTTTTTACTGAAGTACATTTCAAAGCCTTCTTTACTTTGACTTGAGTAAAGAAGTTTAGTCAGTATTTTTAAACACGAGTATCTGTAGTTCTACTTAGGGTTGCTCAATTAATCGTATTTTAATCACGATTACGATTATGGCTTGCAACGATTACGAAAACAACGTAATCGAAATAAAACGATTATTTTTGTATTATTAATACTTTTATTTTTTTATATTATTTTTTTTTTGGTTTTTCAGTTGAATTATACTTAAAGTTCAGGGTAATCAACTGTTAAAAACATACTGTTCAACATTTTTTCAAAGTAAATGAATAATCGCAATTTTATTGACCCAAATAATCGAGATTATGATTTTTGCCATAATCGAGCAGCCCTACTTCTACTTGAGGAAAGGATGTGTGTACTTTTGCCATCCCTGCAGGAAGCGGCAGTTTAACACATTTGACACCAAGCACAAGTTTCGCAGTAGGCAGTTGTCATTTTTCTTTACAAATGGTGCCCATTTATTTTGTTGAAGAGAGCTCTTTAAAACAAGATGTCCAGCCCTCAGCCCGTTGATAGGAAAAGTGATGCGCTGGATAAATAGTGGTGATGGATGGAGGACGATTACAGGTGTTGGTCAGTGATTGATGGGCTGAGGAGACACCGTGCTGACTGACTGAGTGAGGGAAGGAAATCATGTAAAATACAAATGTGTAATGTGCAGACCTAAGCTATTTCCTCAGTTGAAAGTGGTTCCAACAAAACAGTTCAAAAGGAAATATCTGGATTATACAGAGCAACAAGGGCAATGTTTCAGGAAATAAAATGCTGCTACTGATTTTTTTTTTAATGTATTTCTATTGCTGTAAGCACCACTCACACTGTATTTGAATTTTAAATCTCGGGGGCCAATATCTACAAACCTGGATACATAAAACCCAAATTATCTGCTGAGCTAGAAACCCCTAAAGAGGAAATATGGTGCTTTTATGTCCTTGAACACAACCCAGCTAGCTAGAGGGAGCACAATTGAGTAATAGACTCAAAGACAGCAGACGGCTAAACATTACTCTCTACATAGTTCTACTACTGATGCAGAAAATGTACAGATATATGCTTGTTTTGTTACGCTGGCATATAGAATAAAATGATTTATCTTTAAAATAAAGTATAATGGGCTTTTGAACGACTTGCCTGAGGGGGAGAAACCTGTCAGCTCGCTTTAAGTCATTTTTAAAAACTGACTTTTTTTGGAATCGCTTATCTGTTATTTTAACTTAATATTCTGTTTTACTCCGTGTTAAGATGCTGCTGTTTAATTCATTTTCTCTCTGTTTATTTTTTTACCGGTGTTCTGTTTTATGTGAAAGCGCTTTGTAACTATGTTTTGAAAAAAATAAAAATACAGTTTATTGTTATAATTGTTATTTTAAAAGTCCACGCAGACAATAATTGGTTAGAGACAACATTTGTCTCCAAATAACGTACTTTGGATATGAACAGTTCACTTTATATTCCACCTACATTGAAATATATATGAAGAAATTAATAAAGTTGCATATTTCTTTAATAGAATAAATAAGAAAGTCTCATTAAAATGCTAAGTGCATCACCATTTGATGATTGATAGGAGCTGAAACATCAACTACGATTCCCAACAGTTGAATCCCAGATGGAAATACTCGTTAAAAATATCAATGCATTAAATATTCAACACACACTACTATTGCATGGAGGGCTTGTCTAATGAAAGCACTGAAACACACTCATGGTCAGGCGGAAAGGTAGTGTTGATGTCCAGATGGTTTGAAGAAAAAAAACACTTTTAGATGTGATAAGAGACAATCTCAGCCAGATGTGACCTACTGACCCTCGACGCAGTTGGTGGAGAAGAAACAGATGTTGCGGGTTTCCAGAGGATTGTCATGTGTGAACTCTGGGGAGCGAGTCTGAGGCTCCGACTCTCCCGTCAGAGACGAGTTGTCCACCTTCAGAGGGAGAGGAAAGTGAGTGAGACTGAGGGAGGGAAACAGGAGAGAGTGACAAGGTGAGAAGGAGGACAGCAGCACTTATCAACAACAAGCGCAACAAGTCCAAACGCTTTTCTGTTGTCTTTGTTATTTTCCTCACGTTCCTCTATAGGTGAAGAAATGCATTCAATTGATCGTCTTATTATACCGCCTCGAAGTCCAGTGGGATGAACTCAAACTGGAAAGTCGACATTTTTATACTACAGGGAGTACTTTATGAAAAATGAAAGCAACCCTTAACAATGTAAAATGAATATAACATTCAGCTGCATGGCTCGTGTGGGGATTTCATATTCAGAGAGAAGAACTCTGTATTTTCTAGATTAAAGTCACACATTCACATGAAAAATCTAGAATATTTCCTGAGATTAAAGTGGGGAATTTACGCTTATCCAAACCTAAGAAATTTGAAAAGAAAGGTTTTGTGGAGTTTTGTGTAGTGGAGACTAACATCAGAAAGCTGTAAGATGTGGGCGGGGGATTTCAACAACATGCTGAGTACATAAAACACTTCCAAAAGTCTCCGTCATATGTCAAGAAATATGAGAATGTCAAGCTGGGGAACAAAAGTATCCACTTTGAGGTTGAAGCGTTGGGTTTTGAGTGAAATATGTCAGCAAGGGTTTAGCTTGAATTTAAAATGTGCAAAAGTATCCAACATTATTTTTTATTTATTTAACTTTTATTTAACCAGATACAAGCATTGAGATCAAATCTAATTTTCAAAGCTGACCTGGCCAAGAAGGCAGCAACGTTACACATAACACAAACATATAAAATACAGAGAACATAACTAAGAAAACAAAATACGAAAAGCAGTCACTACATGGTGCACATTAGGACAGTAAGAAAGGTACTTATTAGTGCAAGAGCAGCTGGCGGTAAGGACCTCAGACAAGTTCAATTTAAAACATGCTATTGAGACAAGTGCCGTCAGTTTGAGGCGTGATTGAAGGTCATTCCCAGACCAAGGACCATAATAAAAAAGACTCCTTTTCCCAGCCTCAGTCCGCAGGTACCTGGACCCGTATCCAGGCACTGGGTCTGAGGTTGTAAGAGTCAAAAACTGGGGCAAATCTGGCACATATGTAGAGTGGAAGCTTTCCTAAAATGGCTTTATACATGAATACAAACCATTTATAATAATAATCCTTAAAAGTTTGTTGATTAAGATGACATTCCCATAATCACGAGCTTTGTTTTTGTGCTAATTAGCAAACGCTATTATGCTAAAACCAGTGCTGTACGAAGTACTTGTGTAAAATCTTACATACAAGTAAAAATGACAAAAACATTTGCAAGAAAATATACTTTACTTACAAAAAGTAGTGTACGTAATATCCCATTTCAGATTAATAGATATATATTACATTAGAATTTGACATCTGATGCCCTCATGTATTTATAAAGGCTGGTGAATCTGGAGCTAATTTGAATACCTTTATATACCGCTGCTGGATATCTTAACCTTTAATTATATATATTATAATTTATGTATTAGTTTATATGTATTTTTTTATAAACCACATTTTGGAATTTGTAAAATAACTAGTAACTAAAGCTGTCTGATAGTTAGTTTAGTTCAGTCTAGTGGAGTAAGAAGTTTAATTTTGGCTTTAATAATGTAGTGAATAAATATAATATAGCCTACAATGGAAATACTAAGGTAAAGCACCTCAATATCATAGCACTTGAGTAAATGTACTTCATTACATTACACCACTGGCTCCAACACTAACTAACTGCTTTCACCTCTTAGAATATTTTACAAATTGTACCTTGGGTGTCATGAAAGGCGCCTTAAATAAAATGTGTTAGAGCCAGTATTTTGATTTGATAAGAAAGGCCACCTAATTGTGACGTCTGTAGTCAACACACAATAAAAGACTACAATTCCCACGGCGCCTGCTCTAAAGTGACGGTGATGGGCAACCGGCTAGAAAGACACCGTCGAGGAACAGTTTTTAACCGTTAAACAACCCTTTAAGTTATTAAGCCTTATCAAGAAGAAAGAATGCCTAAGTTGTTTGTTATTTGTTTTGAATATTGTCAAGGCCTCTTTTCTTTGTTGCACATGTAAAAGTTAGTTATTTTAGTTTATTTAACACATCTCTTAATACCATCCAAACCATCAGAGGCCAAGCAACTCTTCAAACTGTAAGTAACACACATGTCTGTTTAGGGCGTCTAGTGGCTTGATAGATAAACAAGGAAGGAAGCCACGACAAGATGTATTATTATTATTGTTATTATATTGAAAGCAGGTGTAAAATAGCAAGTCAGTGTAATCCCACTGAGACCTCCAGTGCCCCTCCCCCTACCTTGCACCCGCTGGAGGAGACCACTCGAAGGTCAGCCGGGATGCGGTCTCCTCCTTTGATCTCCACCAGATCTCCCCGCACCACAAACTCAGCATTGATCTGCATCTTCTCCCCCTCACGGATCACCAACGCTTGCTGGCATGGAGAAAAAAGGGAAGAGAGGGGAGAGGGAGGGTGCGAACAGAGAGAGGATTTAGTCAGAGGAAAGGAAGAGCCGGAGGGTGCAGAGGTATATGAGAAAGGAAGAGATAGCGGGAGTGAAAAAGCCGGAGAAAAAAGACAGGTAGTCGGGAAAGCAGAAGAGAAAGTGGAGTGAAAAAAGCCTAAATAGATTAAAGTATTAGGTAATCGAAGTGCTTAGGGGGGGGGAAACGCGAGGGGAGTTTTTATGCAAACACACTCACAATCCAAAGTTGGCTCAAACATTTATTCTTCCTTTGTGCAAGCTTATTAGGTTTCTACTCAAGTGAGAGTGTAAGCCCTACTTGAGGGACAGCTTATTGATTCTGAAAGCTGCGAGAGTACACCAAACAACTCAACTTACCTGTGGCACCATTTTCTTGAAGGAGTCCATGATCCTGGAGCTCTTGGCCTCTTGGAAGTAGGAGAAACAGCCGGTGATGATGACCACGGCTGACAGCACCACGCCCAGGTACAGCTGAACGGGGCAAAGCGGGGCCACAGGGGGAGAGGTGACATTATCCACTTAGTTAGGTTCATGCTAGGCTTTTTTAGGCAGAGGTAAAAGGGATTTACAAACCGCAAAAAGGTTTTAAAACAGCAAAACCTTAAAGGCTGAGAGCTAAGAGCAAGAAAATCTCATTGTTAGATTTAAAAGGAAAAGCCACCTTAAAGCTGGATTATCGTGTTCTATTCCTGTCCTTTTGGATGATTCAATGTTAGTCTACATGAACATCTGTCTTGCCAACCCAGAAAACCTTGAAATGTGACTCTGATCTGCGAGGCCACCAACACCCCTGTTCCATCAAAGTGATTACATTTCCAGTTCGGAGCCAGCGTCTGATTTCAAACCAATTTTTCTTGTTTCCATCTCTCAGCCCCAAAAACGAGTTCACATTATAGGAACCAAAAAACCGCCAGACAACCAGATTCATACAATTAAAAGCAACATGAGCTTTGCGCGACTTAAAGGTCACCTATTATACAAAATCCACTTGTTCATGTCTCTTCTACATCAACATGTGTCCCCTCTTCTTCATGTCTCTTCTACATCAACATGTGTCCCCTCTGTGGAAAGAGACTCTGAAAGTTTCAGGAAAAAAGATTCTCTCTCTTTTTGTCCTGATCCATTTCTATAAAAACCTGTCTGAAAATGAGCTGATCAGATTTTGGCCACTTTATGATGTCATAACGATGTTTTGTCTTGTGTAACCATTAGCCAATCACCAACCAAGGTAATCCCGCCCCCCTACACCTCATCAACTGAATCTCCTCCGAGAGCACCATTGAGTTCTTTGTAACCAAATGTCTCTCAGAGGGGCGTGGGGAGGGGCTCCTTATTTTCATCTAAAGTAACAGACAGAGAATCAGCACTTTGGAAACAGGGCTGAAACAGAGGGGATTATGGGTAATGCTGCAATGATCTGTTTGGTGTGTCAGCCAATCAGAGACAGGTTCTGTATATATCTGAGACCTGTGATATATTG